GGAGGAGAAGAAGAGAGAGAGAGAGAGGACAGAGGGAGAAGAGGAAGAGAGAGAAAAGAGAGAGAGAGAGAGAGAGAGAAGAGAGAGAGAGAAGAGAGAGAGGGAGAGGAGAGAGAGAGAGAAGAGGAGGACGAGAGAGAGAGAGGAGAAAGAGGAGGAGGAGGAGAGGAGGAGAGAGAGAGAAGAGAGAGGAGAGAGAGCAGAGAAACACGAGCCCGACAGGTGAGACAGGAGAGGAGACAGTGACAGAGAGAGAGAGAGAGACAGAGAGACGAGAGGAGAGAGAGAGAGAGAGAGAGAGAGAGAGAGAGAGAGAGAGAGAGAGGAGAGCAGAGAGAGAGGGAGTGACAAAGAGAGAGAGCGAGCGAGCAAACGTTAGAAAAAAACAGATCATCATTCCTGAACAGATAGATCATTCGGCTGATCTGCCTAGCACCCCGCACAAATTTTCCAACTGGGCTGCTGTTCTGGGGTAAATGGTTATGAAATACACTATACATTACCCTACATGCCCGCCGCTCGTCCCTTGGTGGGAATTCCAGCTTCTGATATTGTATTATTTTTCAAATATTAGTGAATAAAATATAATAATGTGTGATTCAAGATCTAGTACAAAAAGATAAAAATTATGTTGACTTGTCATTAATGTAACTTGATATATTGACGATTAATTCGTGAATGCCATGTGCAAACCCTTCTCTAGGGAATAATATTTTTTTCTTTTCTTTTCTTTCCTTTTCAACACGCGAGAGGACCTCAATTTTCAGGTAACATGCATATAATTATCTCGCTGAAACTTTGGATTGAGATACAGCTCTGATATGCGTAACAGGAGTTCTAATTCTTGAACAATATGTTTTCTGCTCTTGTGGAATACAACGGTTGAAATTATGACACGTGTTCTTGCGCAGTGCGGCGAGTCATCAAGTTTACGTTTATTTTCCTTCAAGGTTTTCGACGTCATCGTTTATACTCTCGAGGCAAATTCGAGTTTCAATCGTTGCATTTAAATTCAGATACTTGTGGGAAATTATTTTAGGACAAGGACTTTACAGTGCATTATACCTTGAATGATTGTTAAGGATACTTATTCATTCCGTTATGAGAGTATGTGCATAGAGCGATCTATTCTTATCCACAAATAATAAATAAAACAATTTTCCAATATTGGGTAGATGATTCGAACGCGAGATTCTTACATGACCAACAGATGGCAGCACCAACTCACTATTTTGGCTTCGTTCATAAAGAGCAAGAGGTTCCGACTCTAGTCCAGATCCCGTCTCCTGATTGGCTGTTACCTCCCTCAAGCCCGTGCTGATTGGCCGAGAGACCGATATATGTCAGAATCCGAACACATTCCCCTCCTTGAACGCGGCTGTATTTTGTTTCCGGCCACGTATTTTAGCAGAAGACGCGGGTCGACTGTCAAAGTCCCAATAGACGGGATTGTGCGCGGATTTCGCGTTATTACTGACCCAGTCCGGACCTAATTATGTCCAGTTGATGCTGGCCAAGTGACGAAAGTGTTAGCGAGACGGACAACATGGAGAAGGTGTGGTTGCTGGTGGCTGTGGCGGCGAGTGTGCTGGCCAGGGCGGCTGCGGTCGAGCTGACTTTCGAACTCCCAGATAACGCCAAGGAGTGCTTTTACGAGGAGATCGAGAAGGGGACGGAGTGCACGCTCGAGTATCAGGTAGGACAGGAGGACTCGGTTCGTGGGCGTGGGCGGGGAGAGGGAAGGGAAGATTAGGCTTAGGGTCCGGGTCGGGGTTCCTCAGGTAATCGTGTATTGACATTCGAGGGAATTACAGATCGGGATGGTTTTCTTTCCTTCGGCGGTGGTCTGTGATTTTGACAATGGAATAGGAGGTGGAAGATGTTATGAAGGTTTAGTTATTCATGTGGAAAGAAGAGTGAATTGCTGTCTACTGGTAGTTTGCAGTGGTTGTACTGGACAGGCAAGATAAATAGCCTGGGTGATTTATTATCATGTTAGGAACCAGTCCAAGTTCTTATCTTGCCTGAATAGAATGTTTCGGTATTACATTGTAGAATCGGGTTTCCCTCAATGGTATAGTTTGTTCGAAGCAAACGCATGCCTGCAATGTGTTCAGCAGGGTATATGTGAAATCTATTAACTGCAGAGAAATAGTTTGTTCTGAACAGCCATATGGTACAAGGTACACTTTGCCTGTAATAAAGAATAAAGTGCTGATAGTAATAACTTGTGGAGCACATTCCAGTTCTTAGAAAGGGAAAATCAGTAATTCTTTACAGCCAGAGAAGATACACTTTGCCTGTAGTGAACAATAAAGTGCTGATAGCCAGAGAGGAAGTCCCCAACTCACTGTTCCAAAATTTATTCAGTAATCGAAGTTGCTGTGACTACTTTGACTAAGCATTACTACCTGAGGAGAGTGTTGACCTAACACCTTCATGCAAACATTGTCTTTATGGTTTGCATGCCAAGATAGACCTGAAACATGAGCACACCATGTGGACATAGGCTGTGAGCAGCACTTTCTGCTTTTTTTTCCATTAAAGTTTTGCAAATTATTACTAACAGCATATTTCTCTCCTTCACAAGAATATCATCTGCATCTTGTATTAGTGTATCCAATTCATGAAGATTAACCAGTAAATCTACTGATACTGTTATAACATTAGGGAAAAACTGCACTCCCTTATACATGAAATATTATGCTCGGGCAAAAAATAATGTTAGACATTTTAAGGTTGCTGTAAGTGTTACCGAGAATGATGTGCCAACTAGAGACAAAGTCCCAAGATAATTTTTTCTAATACGTCTACATATCAGATAGCAAAGATTTTAGTATCGTTGGATTCCTCCCACTGTCTACAATGCAACCATGTAGGTTTCATTGTGCTGAAGCCCCCCAACCCCACATTCTTGGCACCAATAGGAAGGGAGGGCATGAAAGGTACCAGGAAAAACAAAAAATCGTACTCCTATTCATGGCAGGAGAGAGCGTCAGACAGACTTGGCAATGCTGCTCCTGCAATGTTCTTCTCCTCCTGGGTGGGGGTTAGGGGGCAGCAGCCCCACGTGAAGAGGTTGAAGGGGGAACAGCCCCCTCCATCAGCCAATATAGTGACTGATTCTGTGTATATTATTTACATTTTACCCTACAATTTCCCTGGTAGCTTTTATACCCTCTTCTGCTATTGGGGCCAAGAATGTGGGGGTTCAGAGGGTTTCCATGCAATAATTTTGGTATATTTGGAAACTAGAAAGTATGTTGCTCTCAGTAACTTATACTGAGGTTACAACAAATACTATAAGAAACCAAATGTTCCATAGTCGGGTGGGGTTTAGCAAGAATTTTGGTGCAAATGGAGATGTGTGTAACTTCTGAAAGTGCACCTTCAATGTTCTTGGCAGGAGTAATAGTATTCATTATTGTTTACAAAATATGGTCACTTCAAAAGTAATTACCAAGACTTTCACATATTTCCTGAACTGAGCATTTGCAATGGAAAACAGAAAATTCACACATATTACACTGTGAACAATTAGAACCAAAGACTATAATTGCAAGCTTGGTTGGCTCTGTGAATCAAAACTATTTCCACTGCAAACTATTTATAGCTATACTGAACAGTCAAAATTTTGTTACTGCTTTTTTCTTTTTGATTGTGGAAATTTTAGATGATCAACTTTAATGTAATCAACTACAAGAAAATAATAAATTGTTTATTTAATAGCAAAGATGTTTGACCTTCATTTAACTAGATTCAGAATTTTTATGTAGGTTGTAGTGGTAACAATGGGCTGCTTTCTTGGAATTGTGCGAGGCCCGACCCAATGAATATTTGTGTACACAGACATGCATATACACAGAAATAAATACATATCTGTCTATCTATCAGATATATTCTATATGTTAGATACCCATGTCTATACTGATGGATATGTTTTTATTTTAGTATATATGTATGTCTGAATAATGAATATTCATTGGGTCGGGCCTTGCACACTTTTAACAAACCAGCCCAGTGACTCCTGTGTCAAAGCCTATGATGTCAGAGTTGATAATCCCACACTCCTCCCCATCCAACATGCCTGAGTGATCTGTGAGAAATCAAGGTTTTGGGTTGAAAAGTTACGATGCGTTTTATAAAACCTTTTTGGTTTCTGCCAAATATCTAATGAAATTGCTGGCGATGATTTGTTAGTTAACTTAATACAACGTGCACAGAGATAGCAGTGGCTTCTGTGCCCCATGATGTTTGGGGTTAGTCAAGAATCATCCTCCATGAATATTGTGGCGGGATAAAACTTGAGTTGTTTCTTTTTATGATGGAAATCTACGTTTTAGTATTGTTAATTTGTATCATATGGAAGCTAATTCAACAATCACATTCATATTTGCACGACACAAGAACTGGCGCTGAACTGCTTCCAGTATTCAAACTTCACAATAAAACTGATCTTGTGAACAATTTACCTGTCTGTTTGTGGCTACTTTCATTGGTTAATCTCTAGACAAATTTAATGTATAGAGTTATTTTTAAGCTGCCCGGAAACTATTATTTTCGGCTTCAAAATATACCGGCGTTAGTGGGTTAACTAAAAATATACCACGACTGAATGCATTATCCCCCATTCTCCATTTGTTATGCTGTCAGGAAATCTGTCGAAACTGAATCTATCTCACATGTATAAATGAATGTAAGACATGGCTAATGCCGTTTTAGATACGACTTGTGTCTCATAATTTATGGTCATATTTATTCAGGCCAGGTTCTTGTGATCTAGTAATGGAAGGCCAACAGTAGTAAACCACTGAATCAATTAGTAGGGCCTTGTGCTGCACCTGATCTCCCCATTACTTGAATATTGGAAGAATTATATTTTTGTAATGCAGATCATGTTCAAACTGTTATTATCGTAGACATTGATTAATATAATGCTATTACAATATTAATAATGGTAAGAAAGAAAATTATTAAAAAGAATCCTATCAAAAATTAAGGAAATGTTAGACAGAGACATAGGTATGACTGATAATTGAGTTCCTTGTGACTAATCACTAGTTTATTATGTGTAGTTTCACAGTTGTGGCTCACGTGTGGAGCCATATCTGTGTAACTACAAATAATGAGTAAAAATTACAATAGAAATGGCATGTAGTTTCCCATACGTGGCCATAGGGTTGAGTCCAAGCTGATGGTGATGCATTATCAAGCAATAACTGCAGCCTCAGTTATTTTGTTATGGCAATTTTTTATTTACATATTCTAGATTAGACTGATTTCTTTTTAGACAATACTGTTGTAAGTGAAGTCATAATTCTCATTTATTGCATGGATGAATATATCAGTTTGTTGGGTCTTTGCCAGTGTGTTAAAGGCACAGTGGCTCAGCATTTTTTGTATCACATGATTATACAGGTAGTATGCTTTGTAGATTTAGATTTTCTAGTGTGAATTGGGTGGTATTTTCAACCAGTGCCAGTTTGTATGCCTCCATTCTAAGGTTTCTAGGCTTTTGCCAGAATTCGAATATGATTGAGAAAATCCCCATTTCAAAAACCACATGATTAATAGTTTAGTATATATGAATAGATATATAAATGAAAAATTATGATAATAAATAAATAAGTCACACGAACGCATGCAAAATGCAAAATATCTTGTCAGCAAAATAGGGACTTGCTTCATATCCTGTTATAAACAAGTATTATTAGTATGTAAATTTTTAAAAATTAGAATGGTGTTCAAGTTACTAGCATGCCAATTAACTAAGATACTCATTATTACTCATTTATGAATGCATTACATCTTCCCTTTTGGAATCTAACATTATATCCTTGGATGCAGCTTTGATTTCGAGTGCTATAGAAATATTCGATTAGGTCTCTCATTCTCGTCATATTAGACCCTTACAATAGCCTTGTTCAATAGAATTAGAATGTTAGGCCTTTTTCAGTCATACCTATATTTTCTTCACAACCCTGCTCACTCCCTAGCTTCTGTGATACTATTTGTTTGTTATTTTTTAACCTTTTTATCATTGCTGCTTACATTGTTTATATTTTTATATTGTTAATATATATATATATTGTTAATATTATATTATATATTGTTATATATAATAATTTATATTATATATATATTATATATTATATATTATAATATTATATTATATAAAATATTATAACCTTCTCACTCCCTAGCTTCTGTGATACTATTTGTTTGTTATTTTTTAACCTTTTTATCATTGCTGCTTACATACTACCCTTTATATTGTTAATATATATGTATAGATATGTGGGTTGTTTATATAAGTTTGTGTAGGGTAATTCTGTATCTTTTTTTAGATTTGAGATGGATTTCGTGAAATTGTTTGCAATCATTTCTCTGAATTGTTTTTGTCCACATTTAATTGTTTATTCAACAGATTTGCAAGCCTTTAGGGGGCATGTTAGCGCAGAAAGTTATTGAAGATTGATTATGAAAAGAGCCAAGAATGAATACCAGAGCATATTAGAACAAATATTAATTTTCGTAATTCTATTATGGTACTATGATTATATATCCTGAGTGAAGACATTTTATACAACTTACCTGTGATTGAGGCCATACTAAGTGCTTTTGTTTGTGTAATAACTGTAATTTTATTTCGTAAGGTTTAGAAGATATAAAGACTTGCTGTTTAAAATGAAAGATGACATATCGGTTCTAGAGAGAAAGCCAGAATCAACACTATGGCCTTGTAGGTGTTGTCAACCTCACAGTGAAATTTCTAAATTATTACCGTGGCATATGAAGGTCAGATATAAAAAGGAAAGCTATCGTAAGACAAAAGTTTTAGGAATATTTTCTCTGATGTTTTACATAATTAATCAAGAGCGCTGACAGGTTATGGAAAGATGTGCAACAAATGAATTTATTTATTTTTTTCTTATGAATTAAAACACAAGCATAATAAATCTGATCTTGTGCACAGGATGGATGGAACTTCTTGTATATCATGAATATTTTAAAGAATATACTATTGTTTCTTGTATGAAATTAGTTAAATTGGTCTCCTTAGCATATCCTTGGCATGAAGTATGCTTCAGTATTATTACTTCACCACACCACATGCAAGCAGCCATTGGTGTTACAGGAGCAGATCCTTATACTGAAGGAAGGGGACAGAGAGAGTAAGAGAATGTGAGTGAGTGAGTGAATGAATGAATGTGAGTGAATGAATGAATGAATGAAAGATGTGAGTGAGTGAGGGAGTGTGTGAGTGAGTGAATGAGAAAGTTAGTGAGTAAATGAGTTAGTGAATGCATGAATGGAAGAGTTAGTGAATGAAGAATTAGTGAATGAGTGAATGAAAGAGTTAGTGAATGAGTGAATGAAAGAGTTAGTGAATGAGTGAATGAAAGAGTTAGTGAATGAGTGAATGAAAAGAGTTGTGAAGTGAATGAAAGAGTTAGTGATGAGTGAATGAAAGAGTGAATGAGTGAATGAAAGAGTAGTGAATGAGCGAATGAAAGAGTTAGTGAATGAGCGAATGAAAGAGAGTGATGAATGAATGACGAATGAGAAGTGAATGAAAAGAGTTAGTGAATGAGCGAATGAAAGAGTTAGTGAATGAGCGAATGAAGAGTTAGTGAATGAGCGAATGAAAGAGTTAGTGAATGAGCGAATGAAAGAGTTAGTGAAATGAGCGAATGAAAGAGTTAGTGAATGAGCGAATGAAAGAGTTAGTGAATGAGCGAATGGAGAGTTAGTGAATGAGCGAATGGAAGAGTTAGTGAATGAGCGAATGAAGAGTTAGTGAATGAGCGAATGGAAAGAGTTAGTGAATGAGCGAATGGAGAATGAGCGAATGGAAGCGAGCGAAGAGTTAGTGAAAGAGCGAATGGAAGAGTTAGTGAAAGAGCGAATGGAAGAGTTAGTGAAGAGCAGCAGAGTAGTTGGAAGAGTTGGAAGAGTTAGTGAAGAGCGAATGAAGAGTTAGTTGGAAGAGTTAGTGAAAGAGCGAATGGAAGAGTTTAGTGAAAGAGCGAATGGAAGAGTTAGTGAAAGAGCGAATGGAAGAGTTAGTGAAAGAGCGAATGGAAGAGTTAGTGAAAGAGCGAATGGAAGAGGTGAAAGAGCGAATGGAAGAGTTAGTAATGGAAGAGTTAAAGAGCAAGAGTTAGTGAAAGAGCGAATGGAAGAGAGTGAAAGAGCGAATGAAGAGTTAGTGAAAGAGCGAATGGAAGAGTTAGTGAAGAGCGAATGGAAGTTAGTGAAAGAGCGAATGGAAGAGTTAGTGAAAGAGCGGAAGAGAGTTGGAGAAAGAGCGAATGGAAGAGTTAGTGAAAGAGCGAATGGAAGTGAAAGAGCGAATGGAAGAGTTAGTGAAAGAGCGAATGGAGAGTTAGTGAAAGAGCGAATGGAAGAGTTAGTGAAAGAGCGAGATGAAAGAGCTTAGTGAAAGAGCGAATGGAAGAGTAGTGAAAGAGCGATGGAAGAGTTTTAGTTAGAAAGAGCGAATGGAAGAGTTAGTGAAAGAGAATGAAGAGTTAGTGAAGAGCGAATGGAAGAGTTAGTGAAAGAGCGAATGGAAGAGTTAGTGAAGAGCGAAGAGAGTTGGAAGAGTTAGTGAAAGAGCGAGTTAGTGAAGAGCGAATGGAAGAGTTAGTGAAAGAGCGAATGGAAGAGTTAGTGAAAGAGCGAATGGAAGAGTTAGTAGAGAAAGAGCGAATGGAAGAGTTAGTGAAAGAGCGAATGGAAAGAGTAGTGAATGGAAGAGTTAGTGAAAGAGCGAATGGAAGAGTTAGTGAAAGAGCGAATGGAGAGTTAGTGAAAGAGCGAATGGAAGAGTTAGTGAAAGAATGGAAGAGTTAGTTGGAAAAGAGCGAATGGAAGAGTTAGTGAAAAACCGAATGGAAGAGTTTAGTGAATGGAGAGTTAGTGAAAGAGCGAATGGAGAGAGTTAGTGAAAAGAGCGAATGGAAGAGTTAGTGAATTGAAGAGTTAGTGAGCGATGAATGAAGAGTTAGTGAGTGGGCGAATGAAAGAGTTAGTGAGTGGCGAATGAGTGAGTGGGCGAATGAAAGAGTTAGTGAGTGGGCGAATGAAAGAGTTAGTGAGTGGCTGAATGAAAGAGTTAGTGAGTGGGCGAATGAAAGAGTTAGTGAGTGGCGAATGAAAGAGTTAGTGAGTGGGCCGAGTGGGCGTGGGCGAATGGAAGAGTTAGTGAGTGGCGAATGGAAGAGTTAGTGAGTGGGCGAATGGAAGAGTTAGTGAGTGGGCGAATGGAAGAGTGAGTGGGCGAATGGAAGAGAGTGAGGCGAATGGAAGAGTTAGTGAGTGAATGGAAGAGTTAGTGGAATGGAAGAGTTAGTGAGTGGGTGAATGAGTTAGTGAGTGGGTGAATGAAAGAGTTAGTGAGTGGGTGAATGAAAGAGTTAGTGAGTGGGTGAATGAAAGAGTTAGTGAGTGGGTGAGAGTTAATGAATGAATGAGTTAGTGGATGAGAGAGCGTGTTTTGTCAGCCCCTCTGCTGTGCAAACATAATTATAAAGGGTTCTTAACCTGTGTAAATGGGTATATGTAGTCTACTGTCCACTGTGAATTTTGTCGCACAAATGGCTCCACAGCTACTTATGTTACGAGTTCATTAGTAACCTTGTGGAAGCTGATTTCCCAATTCCTTGAATATTCTTTTCTGTTTTTCTGATACTTTTATATGTTATACCATTATCATTATGATGATTATTATTAAGATTATTATTATTATTATTATAATTATTGACATGGTGATTATATAATCTTTAGAAGTCATTATTGAAATACTATATGATAGCAATAAAGATTAAAAGAATCTTTGAAAATATCAAGGAAAAGGGTAAACATGTGAGATAGGTAGGGCTAGTAATTGACTCCTTGGTGACTAAGTAATTGTGGAGCCATTTAGGTGTAAATGCAATCAATTAATGTGAATCACTGGCATGGTGTGTAAGTCCTGCCATCCCAGCACAAAGGTTTAAAAGGTTTTGATGTAATGTTATGTCTTTATGTATTGAATTTGAGAAACACGTAGATTAGATTAGTACTTCCGTGAGGTTAAAATAGCTACAGAGGCTAAAATACATACAATGTCAGCTGTTGGCACGTAAGGGTTATGTAAGCAAGTATAAGCGTATGTATATGATTACATGTATAATGGCCCTTTATTAAAGAGAGAAAACTTTCTTTCTGTAGGTTGTCACAGGTGGACACTATGATGTCGATGTCCTTGTTGAGGGACCTGCACGACAAATTTTGTACCGTGAAATCAAGCAACAGTATGGACAGTTCCAGTTTACTCCAGACCATACTGGGACGTATCAGGTATGGTATTAATAATTATTGAATTACTTGTCAGAATTATGAGCTAATATAGGGTAACTTTTTTTTTCATCATCTTCAATAAAATTACAACTATAATGTGTGTTATAACAGTTGAAAGTTTTCATAAAATCTTCCAATTGAATTAGTTCAGTAATACCCAGCTAGTTTTATATATATATATATATATATATATATATATATATATATATATATATATATATATATTATATATATATATATTATATATACATACATATACATATATACATATACTATACATACATATACATATATACACACACACACACACACACATATGTATGTATTTTTATTTTTATTTTTTTCCCTTGTCACTAATTGCATCTTTTTGTTATTAATTTCACAGGTGTGCTTCAGTAATGAGTTTTCAACCTTTAGTCACAAACTCATCTACGTAGATTTTCAAGTAGGCGATGAGCCACAGCTACCAGGTGTTGGGGAGCATTTCACAGCAATGACCCAGGTGAGTATTACCTTATCTTCTCAGTGGGTTTCTCTTTTGTGTAACTCCGTGGAATTTGTAAATATGTATTATAAATGCTCATATTCTTCTGATTAACGTCTGTTCTCTGAAAGTTGTCGTTATTTATAATGTATTTATATAATTATTATTATTATTAATTCATTATTTTTAATTTGTAGTTTTTTTATTATTATCTAGTATATTTTTCTCTTCGTTTCATCTCTTCATTATAATAGTAAGTCTGGAATCACAGGGTATACTCATGTTGGATTGTTCGACACTTTTTTTCGTACTTGGGAGAAAAAAATGCATACCATTTCCTTTTGCAGATGGAGTCATCATCACAAAAGGTTCACGAGAACCTAAACTCTATAATAGATTATCAGACCCACCACCGACTACAGGAGGCCCAGTCACGGAAAAGAGCCGAGGACCTCAACGAACGCGTCCTCTTCTGGGCTGTGGGGGAGACTTTGGGTATTCTGGTCATTGCGGTCGGCCAGGTCATGATACTGAAGAACTTCTTTGCAGACAAGAAGAGCAATCAAGCTGCCTATTAAGCCGACTGCATTTATCAGCAGTTTGTCTCCTTGCCACTTTGAAGAGATCAGCATCCCTTATCATCATCAGGAAAGAACAAATTGTTTGTATATTAACGGTTTATAACGATTTATTTTTATGAAAGGATTTGTCAGTTATGATGGAGCACATACTTCTGTCAGCCCAAATGGTCTTTAAGTTGTCTTCACGAAGAGGGAAAAAAAGAGAAAAGTATGGGTTCACTGAATTACATGTTTTCTAAATAATGAAAAATTTAAGTATCAGCAGTATTGTGAACTTAGTACATGTGAGCATTTAGTCATTGTTATCGAGGCATTTTATTATTCATCGTTTTATGCTGGAAATTTTGACGTTTTTGAACACAGATATGGCTATTGTAACTCTTCTGTTCTGGAAATTCTAAAGCGTTCGGGTCTAATTTCATTTAATTTCAGATATTTTAAAATGTAACCATTGTATAATAAGATTTTTGAGGAATGACTTAGTCTTTTTGTTTTGCAAATTTTATTTTATTTTATTTTTAGCTGTTGAGTGTTTATAGAATTATATGTTATAGGTAAAAATGAATCTGCAAATAAATTAAAAATTAACACATCTACTGCCACAAATTTCTTTAGATTTAGATTAATGGCATGAGGTTAGATACGCTCCGGAATGATCAGTTGCATCAACTGTTACCATCTCATGTTAATGCAAAAAATAAACTTTAATCTCTTTTTATGCTAGTTAATTTTTTAAAAATCATTCATTGCAGTCACCTTCAGAATAGATCTCAAAATACAGCAAAAAAAAAAAAAGTCTTAAGTATATAATTAAAATCTGTATAGGGAATTGCTTGAGTATGGCAGAAATAGCTTGTGTTTAGTTTGTCATTTTGAGAGTTTACACTTATTTAGATGCTTTCAGATTAACAATTTAGGTTTTGTCTATCTGGATGCACGAGATCTGTATATACAGAGTCAAAGTTATATTTGAATGACAGGTTGAGCTGAATGGGATGACTGTTTTCTGTGCATTTTGTAGGCACTGTTAAATGCCAGACTCGGAATCTGGTGTCATGGAAGGTCTTTGCAATCTTCCCTCTTTGCTGAAGAAATGCAAGAGCACAAGGTAACTTCACAGGCATTATTTGAGTACTTTTTTTATTTTTTTATTTATTTATTTTTTTTTTTTTTTTGAAGTCATGAAATTGCATTTTTTACTTTCTAGGGTTTTCAAAATTTAACGGCAAGATGTTGCATTGTATTCCACTGATAACCAGAGATGTGACACATGCTTAAGAATGAAAAGACTTGCATATTGTGTGGCTTTAGAGTGTGATGGTAAATTATTGTTTTTGTATGTACTATCTTAATAAAAAGGAGTATAAATGTATTTGCTTGTCACTAGTTCTCCTTTTAAATCTTGCCTTTTACTGTAACCAGATGATTTGCCATTCACAGGAAAAGATTGAAGGCAAAACCTCTATGATCAGATAAATTAATCTTACAAACATTGAAGTATTGATGATGCATATAAATTTCACTCCAACAAATTTCACACCAACAAATCCTATTGTATTTAAAGTTGGAGTTTTTGCTTTAACATTTTCTATTAAAGTTTAAAAAACCCTTGAAGTGATGTTTAATACATACTACCCATGCAATTATATTGCCTTAAATTTATTATCTAGTTGTTAATAATATTTTCATCATATTTAAACTAAAACTAGAATTTGTGTTGAGAAGTAGTTACTATCTTCATTCTATAGTAGACCACAAAATGCCTGGTATATTCTTCATGCACTAAAAAATGAGAATTTTCATCTACATATCTAGCTTACTCTCTATCAGTATCATAATTACTGAACCAGTCACTTACTCTTGAATCTACAATACTGTAGACCCTCTATTTCAAATCACTTTTAATTTCCTGGTATTACGCAATAAGAAAATGAGGCATTCTACTCACAAGTAATTAAAAAACAACTTTAATATCTTTTCTTTAGACAGCGATACAAACTAGTTTAATTAAACTATTTGATGTATCATAAGTTCATTATCAATAGTGAGAAGAATAAAACTGATACAACATATATCACAGACTTATTTTCTTTTGTTTTTATTTTGAGTACAGAAATTGTTTTTATTTTGAGTAACAGAAATAATAACTTGTGTGTGAATACTTTCAGTAAAAAACTGTTGCATGAAGGCTTAAACATTAAGAAAGAAAATCCTTACATTTCAGCAATTCATTATTCACAACAACAAAAAAAAGAAGAAAAAAAATCACTGCACATCACATTATTACTGAATTTCTCGCTTCTTGAAATAACAATATTGAGAGAAAGATAAGAAAAAACAAAATGCTAACAAATTAGGAACTTTTCAACAAGAAAACATCTTTTCTGGCTCTAGTTCTTGGTCATTTTATGCTGGTTTTGTTTAATCTATATACCATACAAAAGTACATAATGACTTCTATGGAAGCATATCTTTATTCTAAATTCATTCAAGTACACTGTTTCACATAATATCCAGAAATGCTGACACCCCAGCTATCCATATGCTTAGGTGATAACTGTAGGCTCCTGGCGACCTGTGCGTTCACGTAGCTGAGACAAATTAATTGTAATTTCTACTAGTGGTTTGAGGACTTCCTGCAAGGTAAGGAAAATATGGTTAATATACTTTCAATTCATGGAAAACACTCAACTACATAAGTAATTTATCACCAGATATTTTTGCATTACTACAATGACATGCAACTTCAACGAATGGTTCGTAATTTCTCTCCTGAATTCAATCAACCCCATTCTCTCAAGGAGACTACTCCCTCTAAACGACTCATGCCTACCTCTCCTAGAGATATCATAACTACCCTACCTACTTCTCGCATCCATAATTCTAATATCTTTACACTAATTCTTCTGGTTCCTATCATTGTTCCACTAATTTACATGTTGATGCAGCACAAAAATTTTCCATAAATAAAAATGTTACACCAATTCTCCCCGTTGACGTCAACTAAAGGAGAAATATCGTGCGCCATACCTGAGCATCCTTTGTGTACGTAGAGGGATCAGATTCGTAGCTCTCAATGTACATGCGGACAGTTGCACCTGAGCTTCCTGTGCCACTGAGTCGCATTACAGCACGAGATCCGTCACTCATGAGAATACGCACTCCCTGGAATGACGTGATCACATTAGTTCTCATTTTTCATGGACTAAATACCATTTACTAAAAAAAAAAAAATTCATACTTCTAATCAACCTTTTTTTTTCTTCTACATCAGATATACAATTAGAGATTAAAGTGCATTTTTCAGATTCATTTTTATGATCTACTACTCATTCTTTAAATAGGATTAAATACTGCTTTTGCTATATTACTTAATATTAATAACTAAAGACACCCCACTGCAGTACCAAAATAACCTAGAATGAATTACTTTTAAAGCTATGGTGTCTTATAAAAAATAAGATATAGCGTAAACAAGAAAATCAATAGTGTAAACATGTAAAATTGATACAAACTTATCTTCTGCAAACACACTTCAAAAAAAAAAAAAAAAAAAAAAGAAAAATGAAATAAATATAAAAAAGCACGCAGCGAGAAACTGACCTGTTTCTTTGCCACAGCTCCATCAATGGGGTCAGTGTACTCGAAGTTGTCAATCTTGGCAATCTTGTACGTCTTTCCCCCATGCGACAGCTCCTTCCCAACCATGGCAGCATCACCACTCATGGCATCCAGAGCAGCCATCATAGCATTGCATGGATCACTCTCACAATTTTCATAGTCATATCTGTGAAGACAAACTGATTAGTAAAGCTCATGAAATCTTTTAACTACAACATGACAAGGTAGACATCCATTTATACATTTTGCTACTTTTACACAATGCAGAATGTGAAAGTATCACCTAAGAGTACTACTGCTTTTTACCAATTCTATATCACTATATAGTATACATATACATTATTGCAGTCTCTACTTTTCATACAATTTCATTACATACCTAGTAAAGAAGTTCCTTCCATAAGTCTGCCAGTGATTTAGCAGAACCTTTTCAACTGTAGTTTTGCGGACAGCGAGGATGGACAACCATGCAAGCACGGCCCATATGCCATCTTTCTCTCGAATGTGATCACTTCCAGTACTGAAAATAAAAAGATGATTTTGAACAAGTTTACGAACTGAACCTAAGTGGATTCTTTAAATGAGCTTCACTGAGTCTCATTCTTATTATTTTCCCACCCACTGTTTCCATATACCATAAAAAGCTATAAGGAAACAGGTAACACTCGGTATCAAAAGAATCTGACGATTCCACTTCACCCCGAACTTCGGATACAGAACGAAGACTACTACAAAATACATCACTATATCAAAAGTTTACTATTATTATTACATTTTTAAATTTACAAAGCAGTTGTGTTTCAGCAGCAGCCATCCTTTCCCTCTTACTAGTCTATTAAATTGGGGTCTACAATCTAATAAATCAATTTCCAGTTGGCTTGTATCCTGAATCATTATTTTCAAAAACTGAAAATATTCTGGTTTTTAGTTTACCATTGAAAATTTCCATAAAGAAACATCACTACCAGTTAAACAAGTAATAACAATAAAAAAAACAATAATAATAATAATAATTAAAAGCTTCAGACAACATACCAAACATGAACTGGATCATTTTGCTTACATACAATGTTAACATGACACAGATTATAAATTTATAAAAACAACAACAACAATAATAATAATAATAAATCAATTCCTTTTTTCATTACAAGTCACCATGCTAGCCAATTTCATTATCTAGCCTAAGTAGTTAAATGTCATACTTCAGATGGTCATAAAAGGTGAAATATATTTAGCTCTTGTCACTATGCATATAAATAAAGTAACTAAGGGTTTCTTTCACCATCTGTTACACTTTTTTAAGATATACTAAAAAAATCAAAATGTATCTTACCAGTGAAAGCAGCCTTTGCTGAATAAAAATGCGTAATAAGAAAACAAAACCGCACACACGTGACAAATACTTTCGAGCAAATTCTAAAATATACGATACATAAACAATTCATTTATGGGGTTTTTCACTCAATGCAGCTCCAAGCTTTTCAAAGATACACCTACAGTTTTGCAGGGGAATATGATGGGTAAATTAGGAATCCCAATAAACTAAAATAAATGACTGAATACGCGGAAGAAAAAGTTATTTTGATCTAAAAATTCTTTCTTATATTTGCAATATAATTATGTTACATTTAGTAACACATCTTGAACCATATAACATACTGTACAGAACATCTTTTCTACTTGTTTGCGTCTGTCTGTAAGTGAGTGCGAGTGTTCCGGCCGTGTGAATTTTGTTCACTTACCCAAAGCTCTCTTCACCACAAATGGACAACCTTCCAGCATCCATGAGGTTTCCAAAGTATTTCCAGCCAGTAGGAACCTCAAATATTTCCATTCCTTTCTTGGCAGCAACTCTATGGAGACCAGAACAATCCTCATTACCAATAAACCACATTTGAAGCAAATTGCAGTCTTTGACAGCACACTAAATACCGACTAGTTTATTCTGTTTTTGTTTTTTTTACACAAAGACTATTGTAATGAAGTTGCTTGGAGACTAATATTTAATATTGTCACATTGTACTGTCAATGAAATATACAATTTTTGGCTTATGAATTTTACAATATTAAAGCAAGAATTATGCAAAATTATGCTTCATATAAATAAAAAATAGTGATCGGTGTATCTTTTCTCCTTATCAGTACATTACCTGTCAATGGCACATCCTGTGGGCATACTGCGTGCTAGGCCCTTGACTCCATTTTTCTTGAAGTATGGGATGCAGTCAGTGTTGTCGGCTATAACTGCCACAGAGTCAGATGGAGTCACAAAGAATGCCTTGTAACCGAGGATCATGTTGCGATCCTGTAAAATTACAATAGTTGTCAGCTCATGGATTGTAGAACCATCGTCAAACAGATTTATAAGAAATTATGAGTATATTTGATAAATAGGTCTACATATTTGTTTTGCTTACAAATATCATACCTATAAAAAAAAAAAAAAAAAAAAAAAAAACTTAAAGAGCAAAGACATACGTTTCCTTCAGAATTGTGTTGCTAACTCAGGAACTAAGGCTTATAAACTAGTTACAGAAAGTACTTCCATAATTTTGGGGCCTTTAGTTACAGTTCTTCTAAAGGCAATAGGTTTAAATCTGTCAAAGTTATGCAAGACATTTTACTTACACCGTCTCCATCGAAGGCAGCACCAAACCCAAATTCTCCTTCTTTCATTGCCTTAACAAGGTCAGCCGCATATGTAAGATTAGGGTCAGGATGATGACCTGGACAAATAAAGTTGAAATCATTAACTGGAGGTATAATATCATTAAACATAATATATGAAATGAATATTACCTTTTAAGAAATCTTCAATACATCCATATCCCTAAAAACACAGTTATGACTCATGAACAAACAGTATATATACACTACATACCTCCAAAGTCTTCCAATGGGACGATGTTAACAGCACTATCTGGACTAGCCCCGAGTTCCTCCAGGAAAATGCGACGAACGTATGGTCCCGTAACTGGATAATTCAACATATATTAAAGATAAGTCATACACCACTAAAGGAAAACCAATGTCGCACAAATACACAGCCTTAGATGAAATAGGAAAACAATTTCTAGCGTCGTCTTGCTTTTACCTCCATGCATAGCGTTGATGAGGACTTTGAGAGGTGGGTTTCCGTCAGCTCCATGCAGGAGTCCCTTGATTGCATTGAAGTCAAAGATCTCCTTCATGTATGCCACATAGTCTGCCACCGAGTCAACAACTTCAACGGTAAATGGCTTTCCATCAACCTACAGGGAAAATTTATGGATTATTAATTACCTTTTGTTTCAATTTTTATAAGATCCCTTTCAAATTCGATACAATAATCAGTCTAGCTTCTAAAAGAGATGTACCAAATCTGGAATGAGCATCTTTGGATTCTAATTCACTTCACACTAAACAGCAGCTGTTGATTATTCACCTGAAATTCCTGTGTGCCAATGGTTGCAATGTCGCATTTCAGGTCAGGGCAAATCTTGTACTCGGCCAGGGACTGGGTCAAGCTGTAGATCTTGTTTGTCACACCATCTGGAGCAGGTCCTAGAGCAAGCAAGTACCAATATTTACACGACAACTGGATTGGATTTAGATTAAACACTGATGTATGCAATGTCCATGAAAATAATTTGGTTTGGGCATCACTGCATGCTCATCAGACTACATATGTGGCTCAAGCAAACAAATCTATATATGAAAAAAAATCAATGAATCAAACAAACTAATAATAAGCTCAAATATTCTAAGGATATTAATTTACAGAAATCATATTTAGCATATTACATTACAATCAAATCTTCAAAACTGCAGACACAGAAAAGATGAAGAAATAAAGATAGTAACTAACACAAGATAAAAAAGGAAAAAAAAAAAATAAAGACAGAAAAGTCACTTTAAAATTTGCCTCAGACTACTCAGACTCTAACCTCCATTCGAGATATTAAACTTGATGCCAAAGTCAGCGTCAGGTCCACCAGGGTTGTGGCTGGCTGTAAGCACAATGCCACCAGCAGTCTTGTACTTTCTGATGATGCATGACACGCAAGGGGTAGACAAGATGCCATTCTGACCAACCAAGCACTTGCGAACCTGAAGGAACATGAAGTAACTTGTCTTAGAAGAAACTCTTCTCATACATGGGGTGAGGAAAGGACTGACAGAGAGAGAAAGGAAGAGAGGGGAGGAGAGAGAGGGGAGAGGAGGGAGAGGGAGGAGGAGGGAGGGAGGGAGGAGGAAGAGGTGAAGAAAAAAGAGGAGGAAGAAGAAGAGGAGAAGAAGAAGAAGGAAGAAGAGGAAGAAGAAGAAGAAGAAGAAGAGAAGAAAGAAGAAAGAAGAAAGAAGAAAAGAAAGAAGAAAGAAGAAAGAAGAAGAAGAAGAAGAAGAGAAGAAGAAGAAGAAGAAGAAGAAGAAGAAGAAGAAGAAGAAGAAGAAGAAGAAGAAGAAGAAGAAGAAGAAGAAGAGAAGAAGAAGAAGAAGAAGAAGAAGAAGAAGAAGAAGAAGAAGAAGAAGAAGAAGAAGAAGAAGAAGAAGAAGAAGAAGAAGAAGAAGAAGAAGAAGAAGAAGAAGAAGAAGAAGAAGAAAGAAGAAGAAGAAGAAGAAGAAGAAAAGAAGAAGAAGAAGAAGAAAGAAGAAAAGAAGAAGAAGAAGAAGAGAAGAAGAAGAAAGAAGAAAGAAGAAGAAGAAGAAGAAGAAAGAAGAAGAAAGAAGAAAAGAAGAAGAAGAGAAGAAGAAGAAAGAAGAAGAAGAAAAGAAGAAGAAAGAAGAAGAAGAAGAAGAAGAAAGAAGAAGGAGAAGAAGGAGCAAGAGCAGAGCAGAGAGAGAAAAAGAGAAAGAAAAAGAAAAGAGAAGGAGAAGAGAGAGGAGAGAGAGAGAGAGAGAGAGAGAGAGAGAGAGATTTAATATATTGAAAGGTGATTATCTAAATTGAAGCCAATCATGTATGTCTTTAAAGAATTATAGGTAATGTATTCATATCAATGGTATGGATTCCTGTAAAATATTTATATACAATTCAAAATATATTAATGAATTCTAACACTTAATCATAATGAAAACACATCCTATAAAGTGGGCTGATCCCATATAAAGTGACACCTGGTAAATTGTATGATATAAAATAAAAGACACTTGTGTACTATGAACAGGTGTGGTTAGTACCCTCAGTAGAACCAGAAAACAAATATAGATTACTACATACAACATTCTAACTGGAATAATGATCTATAACCTTTAAATAATCTCAAACCTTAAGTACTTTAACACAGACCTTTTTTTAACATCCACAATAGAGAAATAAATGAGAAAAGCAACTATAACTTACCCCATTGGCAGCACACATCTTAACAATAATGTCAACAGCTTGCTTCCCGAAATACCGTCCATCACCTCCAACGACAAGGGTACAGCCAGGTAGGGCACCCTCCATGGCACTTAGGATACATTGTACAAAGTTTTCTGTGTAGTTTGGCTGCAAAGATAAAATAATTATAAATCTATCAAATACATAAGGATAATGTCAAACATTGTGAAGTGTAACATATTGAGATCTGAATCTATTTGGTATGACATATCATTTCTAGGATTATATGTATGTATTTAAGATAGATAATTCTTAGCTAAAATGAGTAAAGAATTCTGGAAATAATTCTTTACATTCAACTGCAAAACAATTCAGTGATGCCCTTATGCCTTCTTTAAGGTTTTTATGTTAAATAAATTCTTCATAAAAATTATTATCTATACAAGGCACAAAAAATATTTACCATGAAAGTAATAATGGAAAGTAAAATTTAACCGACACCCACCAGTTACCAGTTTCTATAAGATCATTCTTGAAATATAAAACCATCATTAAATACTATGCCTTCTTTCATGTAATAAGCAAAGACCACTTACTCTTTTTACAGAACCAGTCTACATCATCAATATGAGAAATATTTTTTATCTTTTTATCAATATCATTACCATTAATATTTCACAAAGTAATGATAGAAATCAAATGTGTTTGATGGCATGCTGTAATTAAGCAATGTCAGATATTGTCATAAATCAAGGTAGTTATTCATCGCAATGACATTTCCATGATTGAATTCCACGCATTCGCTCTTCTCTAGGACAAAATTACCCAGACAGCGGAAACTACTGATAATGCCTGCAATACTACCACAGCAATCGTATGAAATCACAGTTCATGTAATGGATCTCAATTCATGTCATAAAAGCTATCTATGTATAAAATGTTTTCAACTTCCAAGGCTGAATCGACACGCTGAGGAGTACACGTAGTAAACACCTGTGTTACGCTGCACAGATTGCGTTTATTTACTCACCTGCTGAAACACTTTGACAGCCTTCCTCAGGCCGCTAGTCCCTGGTTTCTGGCCATCAAAAGGCTTGGTTGACTTAGTAACCGACGTCAGTGCCATGTTTATAGAGGGTGCCACACCGTGTCCGCCTTGCAATCGGGTGTCAGTCCTACCGCGCCCTGGCTGGCTCTGTCGTGGCCACAGACAACACTTGCGGCAGCCGGACACAATCAGCTGTTGTCGTCCGAATGCCTGCGCGAGGCTTCTCCAACCCTTGATCTTCACTTTTCTTTCCTTGTCATATGATGAATAGACAAGATATGATTAATATGAGTCATTTTATTTGGTTTATGATTACAATCGTTGCTCATGAATGTTATAATATTTGTTAAATGGATCTAAACGACCGGTGTGATCTGTTCGCGTATCGGGACAAAGTGTAGCAGACGACGCGCCAGAGAACATTCAAGGTTATTCAGGGCAAATAGGATATTTTCTAAAATAAAGATCTGCTTTCGTTTGAGGACATGATACAACGTAAAGGTGGTTATTAAAGGTGACATTTTGTATCACTTAGCTCTGTATTCCCTTAACCGCCTTTCGTACTCATTATTAATTCTACATTAAATGCTATAACTAATTCCCTATCTTCATATTAATCATGAGAGATGCATAACATTCAACATTTAATAACACACATACGAGAAAGTCAAAACAGCAAATCATCAATGAATACAACCACTCCTCCAATACACACAACACGTGCCCACAGCATAGCTCTCACCCCACTGAAACCCTTCTCATTAACATCTCTTGACTACGAATGTCTGTCTTAGCAACACGACAAGAAAACAGGACTAGGCGAATGTCCGACCGTCACAAGGTCGTCCAGAAACCTATTTTAATGTAGAAGGTGGGGGGGGTAGGGTAGGGTGGGGGGGGGGGAGTGCCAACTGGTGTCTGGATTATCTACAGTATGAATGCAGAGTGACATGTAAAAGAGTGCCTTGTCGGTTTCCTTAAACTATGGTGTATCTCTGTTGCTTCTATCTCATGTCTAATGATGGTTAATATATTGATTTTATCTTATTCCATTTCTTTATGCACAGATTTATCAGTTATTATTAATAGTAGTGGTATCACTACTACTACAACACTAGCAGCAGCAACACCATCAGCAGCAACAGCAGCAATAACAATAACAGCAGCAGTAGTAACAGTGGGAGTGGTAGTAGCAGCAGTAGTAGTAATGTTGAAACGGGACCGGAAAAGTATTTGTGGAATTAAGCACACATACCTCGTGATACAACCAATACTTCAACACGTTAACAAAAAAGAAAAGAAAAAAATATATATCCTTTTCAAGTATAGAATCCATCCCTCACACACACACATACGCACGCACACACACACATACGCACACACACACAACACACACACACACACACACACACACACACACACACACACACACGCACACACACACACACACACACACACACACACACACACATACACACACACACAACACACACACAAAACAGAATAATAATGATAATAAATAAAAAAAATCCTGATTTCGACATCCATCTCCTCAAATTTCCCCCAAAAAACGACCCTTGTTCCGCGCAGAAAGATTCGATCTGAGATACCCACGCAGGATTAGGCTGAAGTCACGAGTTCATCTGTTGCAAAATTCTCGTCATTGCCGTGGAGAATACCTTCTCAGAGAAGATATTTGGTTAAATATGTTGTAAAACTGAGTGATTTATGGATTATAATGTTACTGTTTCTTATTTTAATTGTAGTTATTTCATCATAACTGATCTTTTAGCACTGTTATTGCGGCGATTCCGTACTACACCTCTTCTCTGCAATAACAACCACGAACCACAATCATACAACCGAACGTATTTTAGATCTTGTAAGGAGAAAAATAAATAACCAACTTCACCGAAACTCGCCATAACAACCGCTCTCGTTTCAGGTTAGACGACCAGTAAATCTCATAAGATGGATGTTGCGCTGAAATGACATAGCCGCCAGTTATGTAATTATCGTTATCTTTAGCCTTTGCAGTGACTGAAGAGCAGGTCTGTCCTTGGCAGCGATAATCACGCGAGTATGTCTTGGATATGGAATGCGGTTTAGTGGGGTCAATGGACTATTAAACCGTGCATATACTGGCTAATGAATGAAAAATCTTGCCATCCCATGGACCAGTTTCCTAGTTTCTTTTGGTCGAATAACAGTGGAAGGAATGGGTGTGTATATACATGAAGTAATATATTTTGCAGAGTATTGACTTTCGAAAGAAATTAGGTTAACAGCCATTCCCTCCGAACTTTGAATCTGAACATTAAAACTGAAAAAAAAAAATCTTATTATCGGGGTTCGAATTTTTAAATCGACAGTAATTTGTTGGCAGATGTTCAAAATTCAGTGGATAAATAAGCATTGAGCTGCTGACTCATTGTATAAACAATTGTCTTTTAACGTTTGTTACATATTGACAAGAAAGGAAGTGAATTCATTAGTGTAACACACAGACGTAGGAAAGTACTTTGAAGTAGGGGGCAAAAATTATCCCTGAGTTCTGCTCGATTTTTGCATTTTTAAAGACATAAAATCAATAATTTCAGCACTAAAACGATAGACATATATATTCATACGATACTTAACATCATGCTTTTTTTCATTTTAACCAGACTCAGTTGATAGCTTCCCTGTCAGTTGCAGGGGGTCAGTGTTCTCAACAACTGGGTAACCAAGGAATTGCACTGTTTGTTTACTTGCAATGTCCATGTTTTTTGTTTTTTTTTTTCAGCAGGATAGGAAAGAGAAGAGGCAGTGGAACAAGCTAGCTGGAGCTTAGGAAGAGAAGGTCGGCAAATGAAGCAGAGAGAGATGTAGACGTAGTAGGGTAGACCTACTTGCTGCTTATTTCAACTTTATTTACAAAAATATTTACAAAATAAAGGTTATAAATTCCTGATATGATGTCAGGTCTTCCTTTCCCTCTCGCACTTACGAAAGTGTCGAAGTCTGGTCCTAGGTGGGTGATTATGTCACGGTGTATAAGGTTGATCACTTCGATGCCCATTAGATTGTTGTTATGTTGTCCGAGTGAGCGATGTCGGGCATTTAAGTCAGCTATTATGTAGGCCGGAACGTTTCTTCTCATGATCTTCATGATGTCCGGGTATGGGAACTGGGGTCGTCTGGGTGGCATGTATGCCGTCCCGAGAACGAAGCTTCCTCGGTCTGTATATAATTCTGCCGCGAGAAAATCTTCGGTAAAATTATCAATGACTCGGTGTTTTAAGTTTCTTTTAACAGCGATAGCGACTCCTGCGTCCCCTTCATTCAAAAAGTTTCTTTGATAAACACTGTACCCAAACAGTTTGATAATTTCGTCATTCTGTAGACAGTGGGCATTAAGCAGTATTACGTCTGGGTCTTCTGTCAAATACATGTTTGACAGTTCATGTTTCCTTGTGCGCCAGTTTAGTACATTGTGATGAATAATTTTGTATCTATTTTTGGCCATAGTGTAGATTATATGATATCAGGATATGTAGAGGATTTTCTGGCAGTCTGCTGCTCTGCTCTCGTTCCATTAACAATTCTGTCGAAGGCTTGATTACTGACGCTTTGTATTCTGTATGCAGTGAGATCAATAGTCCTGTTTAGTATGTTATCCTTGATAAGTTGGTCATCAAAGATATCTTGGAGGTATGTGTATTTAATTATATTTGACTGCATTAATTTTACGAGATCATTGTGTGTAGATCGTCTAGGTATGTATCCGATACTTTCCTCTCTTGCCCGAAGTCTTATCTCTGGCAATCTATGTATTCTGACCTCTTTAGCCTTTGCAACATCCGGTCTCTCTTGGCGGTCCTCTTGATTTTGCTGTTGAAGTGGATGCTGGTCGATTGGTGGTGGTAAGCGGTATTCCTCTTCGTTTTTAATTTCCTCCTGTTGTGTGTGATTATTTGTTGCAAACTTTTTCGTTCTTGATAACGTTTCTTGGGTTGGGGTAGTTTCTCTATTCCTCTTGTTGTTTCCTTCCTCTTGTTCCATCTCAGTTTCGTCTCCTTTTGCCATTGTCGGTACATTGTTATTTGTACTTATTAATACACCAAGTGTTTCAGTTGCATGTACTTGATCAGGGAATCTGACCTTGGGCAGATTGTTTAGGGCGTACATCTTATCTATTGTTTCTTGAAAACTGCCTGGCTCTCTGGCTTCCTGAGTATATGCAAATAGTATGGCACTCATTATGCAGGCAGCTGCGTTCGGTGGGAGAGAACTCAACATCGTTTCCGCGTTGAAGGTGGTAGTTACTCTGCTTTTTGTTCCACTATAATTGGTCGTTGCTGCTGTTGCCCCCGCGTAGGTTGTTTGGCGGGATGTGTCTGCGGTGGTTTGTCTTCTCTCTGATTGTCTCTGCTCTTTCGTGCGTTCTTTGATAATTCTTTTTGTATCGGACATTTTGCGGCAAGTGTTCGGTGGTTACCGTTACAGTTCAGGCATTGCTTGGTGTTTTCCCTGCAATCCTTATAGGTGTGATCTTTGGAGGCACATTCAGAACAAGCTTTGTAAGTGTCATTTTCCTTACAATCTTTGACTAGATGATCGTACTTGTAACATCTGTAACATGGAACAAGGTTGATGAAGATGTCCTTTTCAACGAATCTAGGAGGCATAGATTGGAATAGAATTAACATTCTATTTTCTAGTGATCGTTTTGCCATTTGGGTGGTTTCAAATCTGATTTTTAAGATAGAAGCACCATTTGGTATTTTAATCACCTGTTCTATCTTTGCCCAAGCATTCTCATTTTCTATGCTCTCCTTAAGTTCTTCATCACTGAACTCAGTGATTTGTTTGTTAACGTTCCTTATTACGACCGTTCTCATTGCATCATATTCGGGTGGGTCTTGAATCTCGAAGTGATGCTTCAGGAAGGTGGCTTTGCATTCCTTCGACACCATCAACTCGATGGTTTGCTCGTTAGCGATCACAAAGTAGGCATTTTTGTAATCGTCTACTTTGGCAACGGTTATTTTTGATTGACCGATGCATTGCCATAGCTGTGCTCTCCCATTTGGATTGGCAGGTTTTTAATCTTTGATTCTGATTCTGGGCATTGTGAATCAGTTAAGAGTTGCTGTAATGGCAGTTCATGTTGCCTTACGGTTGTTTGGCTGAGCTTCTCTCGCCCAGAGAGGGCAGTGCTGCCTCGGTTGTTTGCGGGCAGTTTGGCAATTAGCCTTCCGTGTAAGCTCGCCGTTTCTGTACAACTCTTTGTTTATGCCAGCTTATTTAGGATGGCTAATTAAATTCAATTTCCTATCTATGCCGGCACTGAACAGGTGTCATGAGCCGGGACGGTGACGGCGACCTTACACCTAGGAAGGAGTTTTCAGACCACAAGGGCTACCTCCCTAAAATGCAAGGCGGGTCATAGCGTACAGGAGCACCAGTAGGAACGTGTTACCGGTCCGGGTACCCTGAGCTGTCTGCGGGAATGTCCATGAAAGTTAGGGAGTGGGGGGGTGGGGAGAAGTTGAGACCCCACCCCCTCCATTTTTGAGTGACTGAGATAGCGACAATGAGCCTTCACACTATCTCATTCAATTATTCATTCCAATCATGATTCAATTCATATATGATACACAGTTCACATTTCTATGATTTAAGCGCTTATGTACTGTATAACCAAAAACAGGTTTGAATAGGCCTACTTCCTGCTACGTCACGGTGTATTAAGAGGGGTGCAGGTATAATTTTTTCTTACTGTGTTATTGTTATTATGGTTATTAATATTATATATGGCATTAGGTCTATAATGATGATGATGATGATGGTGATGACATGACCAATGGAAATGACATTATTTGTTACAATACCAGAGATAGTAATGGAAATGATAACTGGAGTAACAATGATAATAGTTAATATAACACATGTTATAACAATGATTATAAAAACGATGGTGATAGAATCAAAGATATAATAATAATAATAACGAAGATAATGATGATAATGATAACGATTATGATGATAATAATGATACTGGTAATGGAAATAATATCATAGTACTACTACTAATAATAGTAATATGGCAATACTACTAATAATTATCATCATAATGAGGATAGGAATAAGGTGACACTACTACTACCACTAATGATAATGAAAAATAATAGTAATAACAATCACTGTCTTATTGTTATCAATAATAATAATAATAATTATTTCAGCTGTAATGAGCCATACATTGTTAATATCATACAACCATATATTAATATATATATATATTATATATATATATATTAATATATTATTATAAATATATATATATATATATATATATATATATATATAGAAAGTAAAATATCAACAGAAATAGACTTCACACAGATATGCAGACAGATATAAAATACAGTTATCCTACATCAATAATATAAAGTTTTTTCCAATGGGACACTGCTTCGAAACATTTTTATCACTTCTCACAATACACATATACATTCATTGCTAGTTTGTGAGACACTGTTCATGCATTCCATGAGGCATGTCTAAAGAATCTCAGGGAAGCTTTCACACGAACACTAACAAAACATATGTGTTGTACTTTCTCAGGGTGGCACAATGAACAATTCCTCATGATGGTATTATACGTCACCGTAATTCTGCAACTACCACTACTATGTTGCTACTGATAATGATGATAAGAATAACAATGATACCAATGACGGTGATGATAACTGTAATGAGCCAAGAGTCCACTTAATCACTAATTAACTACTTCACTAAAGTCAGACACAGTAAGGTACTGTGTTCTAGAAAGAGGTAAATTTCATGTTTCAACAATAAATCCGGGGGGGGGGCGCCCACAAGCAACAAAATTTAAGGCTGCCCACTTCAGTACTCATATCCTTCAGTTACACATTGTTTATGTTTTCATCTT